CTCCTGTTTAACTTGGTGCCCAGAAATCCCAGCTTTCTCTCTCCACTGCTCAGGGAGGGGATGGAGGGTTCACCCCCATCCCTCAGCTCCTGTTCTGCAGTTTTTAAAAGCACACATTCCTGGTAAACCTTCATTGAGAGTGAAGGGAACTACAATTCCATCGAGTCCAAAACAAAAACCCTTGTTGAGATTCCTGGGCTAAGATTCTGCAACATCAGGGGTGGACTTGGAGGCAAATACTGCTGGAAATCACCTGTGGATACCTCAGGTGCCTTTCTCAGGTACATCCTCCATGTTAAACATCACCCCAAAGCCAGCTCCTGTTTAACTTGGTGCCCAGAAATCCCAGCAGAATTCCCTCTCCACTGCTCAGGGAGGGGATGGAGGGTTCACCCCCATCCCTCAGCTCCTGTTCTGCAGTTCCTTCCCTCCCCATTCCCCAGGGACAAGCTGGAAAATCAGGAGAGCGTCCAAAAGTTGCAGTTTGGGAACTCCTCCTGTCCCCCCCTTTTCCCCACAGGGAATTCAGACACCTCAATCCCTTCCCATCAGCCAGAGCCAGGGAAGAGGCACAACAAACACCTCCCCAAAACACCCTCTCTCCATCTCCATCTTCTCAATTGCAGTGGCCATTTCATAATTAATGGGCTTGACATAATTAGTTGTGTTTAAAGTCAGGCCAGAGCTGAGCCTTTATCCTTCCCCTGAAAAAAGAGGCAGCCAGGAACTTACAGGAAATCGTGGTGCCAGCACAAGAGCTCAGCTGGCTGCAGACTAATCATCTTTGCTTTCCCCCTTTGTTAAACACATTCCTGCTCTTGGAAGCCGTTCAATAGTTCATTAAACCAATAATCCCATTCAAATCCTGCCCTCATAAATGGATTTGTCAGGGCTGTTCCTTTCAGGAGAGGGTGATTTCGAGTTGTCTCCCCTTTAATGAGCCCAAGGACAGATTAAAATCGTGGCTTTGGCCCTGATTTATTGCTTTATTAATTGTTATTTGTAAAAGCATTGGTGGATAAGAGGCTTGTTTGTTTTGTGTTTAGGCCATGCTTTGCATTTGTTTCGTGCTTTTCCCCTTATTGGAGGGGGCTGGGATGGGAACTGAGCTCCCAAATAAATAGATTTTCCAGCAAAAACACACACAACCTCTTGGCCTGAACTGCTGAAGCCTCTTTTATCAACAATTCATCTACAACTGCCCTCGTGGTGCCCAAACATCAACAAGGACTTGTCTTGGGGTTCCTGGAGAACAGTTTCTTTACCATGAGCTTGTTGATATGAAATTTTGGGGTGTTTCCATGAGTATTAATTGATGGAAGACTTCACAGAAATCAACTTGCCACTGAAAGAGAAAAGATCTCCCGGGGCCACTTGGGTTCACTCAACTCTTTTCCTGGGAAATGCCCCATCCCTGGAAGTGTCCAAGGCCAGGTTGGAGCCACCTGGGATAATGGAAGGTGTCCCTGCCCATGGCAGGGGGTGGCACTAGATGAGTTTTAAGATCCCTTCCAACCCAAACCACTCTGGGATTCTGTGGAACCTTCAGGAAGTCGTTTGTAGGAGTAGAATTAATTTCTCTTATTTAAGAGAAACCAAAGGAAGATATTCAATTAATATATTTGGGGGGTTGATTCTACCAGAGCTGGTATAAAAAGCCCTATAAAGGCACCTGGGTCCCACTTCTCTGTGCAGTTCTGGTGTGATTCTCTTTTCTTGTTCAAATGGTGGTATAACACAATTTGGAGATGGAGGGAATTTGTGTCTCCAGCCACCCAAGAGAAAAGGAGGGCACAGACAATAAATCACAGAATCACTGAGGCTGGAAAACACCTCCAAGACCTCCAACCCTTAAATCAGGACAGGAGAGCAAAACCCTGAAATGGGAGAGCAAAACCCTGAAATGGGAGAGCAAAACCCCAAAATGGGAGAGCAAAACCCCAAAATGGGAGAGCAAAACCCCAAAATGGGAGAGCAAAACCAGATCCTGTCAAGACTGGGGACTGTCCTTGGAGCCCCTGGATGTGTCTGTGTGTCATCAGCCATCCTGGGAGCAAAAACCACTTCTGCCATGGACAAAATGCTCTGTTAACACCTTAAAAGGCTTTGAGATCTGGAAGCCTGAAAGGCCTCAAGTGCCCGAAAGGAAAATTCTCACCGACTTGCTTTGGGAAACACGGGGGGGTGTTTTTTTTCAGGGAACAAAGAGAACAAGAGCTCCAGAAACCCTGAGGAGGAGGTTCCACGGAGGAGAAAAAGCAGAAATCAGGACCCTGCACTGCATTTCCCTCCCCTCAGAGCCAAGACACGAAGTTCTGAAGGTTCCCACAGAGTGTTCAGGGTGGTGGTTGGGGACGGTGGCCCAGGCCCACATGACACAGCTAAGCCCTGCTTAAGTCCAGTTCTATTTAATTCCAGATGGTGCAAAAGCCCCAGTTTTGGGGATTCCACAGGAAAAATCACTGGGATGGCTGTCACTGGCTGCCAGACCCACCTGGTGACACCTGTAGGTGCTTCCTAAGCCCAGCAGAACGTTATTTAAAATGCAGATTTCTCGTCACAAGTGGTGTCCCCCCGCCTTGGAAAAGGGGGATTTTTTAAAGAGAGGGATCTCTGAGGGGCTGGAAACCCTGAGATTTGGACACCAAACCATCAGGGAGCATGGGAAGTGCCTGGGGCAGGAGCTCCAGCCACTCCAAGCTTTGCCAGCTCCCCCCTGTGCTGCCCACCACGAATCCCTCCCTCGGAACAAGCCCCGCTCTCCCGAGGGGCAAGAAAACAATGAATCTTCAGTTGGCTTAAATTAGAGCTGCCCAGACTTCCTTACACAGACCTTGCACTTATCCCAGTGGGTTTTTTTTTCCCTCTCTTTTCCTCCAGCAGTTGCTCCACGGGGCGTGAGGGAAGCAGGAGGGGAGGAGGAGGAGGGAGGAGTGTGGTCCTCAGCTCCCTGCAGGGGACTGGGAGCCAGACAGGGCTGTGTGGCCACTGAGAACTTGCCCAACCGATCCCCTTGGTGTTGTTTTAACTTAAATGTTGGTCCCTGCCTGATGCTTCAAAGTGCAGAAGGGGTTTTTTTTTTGCAGAAGCCATTCCTGCCTTGGGAATCTGCCCCTTCGTTTTTTTAAAAGCGCCCTCGGGATTTGGACTCCTCAGACTCGACCAGAAATCAAAAAAAGGGTTTAAGCTGGAAATAATTTTTGGAACCAGGGTCTGGCCACTGAAGTCACCGAGTGCCAGAAGACCACTGGGCACCAGTGACCTTTTGTTTTGGGTGCTGTGAGCAATGGAAACATTTCTTTCCTTGCTCTGCCCTTCCTTTTTCTTCACAGGGCTGCGTGAGACAACGTTATCCGAGCCCACAGCAGCTCCTTCCAGTCCTTCCCACCTCCACTGGGAGCTCAGGAACCAGCCACACACAGCCCAGGGTGAATCAGAGCCCCTGGATCTGGTAAAACCATCCTTTCCAAACAACAGCCTTCCCTCCCTTCAGTCACAGAACCGTGGGAGGGTTGGGGTCGAAGGGATCTCTGGAGACAATCAGGCCCAACATCCGCAGCCATAAAGATTTTTTGGGATGGTTTCTCTGAGGGATGAGGAGCAGCAAAAGTAACAGGGGAGGAAAAGGGTGTCCCTACCCTGGGAGTGAGCAAAGGGCTGCCGGGGGGGGAGCTGGTTTGGAGAACCCCACATCCCAGGAGGGCGATTGTCCGCCTTTCCCGAGTCCTGCGCCGCGGGAAGGGGAGGCCACGCGCGCCGGAATCCCGGGAGCAGATTCCCTGCGGCGGGGCCAGGGCTCTGAGCTCCGGCTCCAGCCCAAAACACGGCACATTTGAGCCTGTCTGGGCTCAAAGCTCAGCTCTCCAGGCCATTCAAGCCACATTCCCGGCGAGAGCCGAGGCCTCTGGCACGGCCGGGGCCCCGCGCGTGGATCACGTTCCGCTCCGGCCCTGCCCACTGACACAGGAGAGCTTTCCAAGAACTGCAGCCAGACAGACTTAAAATAACCCAGAGTCCACACCGGGGCCAGGAACCATCTTGAGAGCAGGAAACACAGCCCAGCTCCGGCACAGGGAGCCTCTGGCCGAGCCCTGTCTCCCTCCTCAGGTGGAAAACGGGTTCTCGCACTGATTTGTCCCGCAGATGAGCCCCCGAGGCACAACGAGGGGCTGAGGGGCACCTTCCCCTCAGAAACACCCCTGGCAAAGCAGCTCTCAGGGGCAGCGACCTCCCAGCACAGCCCACAGCCACCGGCAGCAGAGCCAAAGGCAACTCCAGGGTCAAATCCCGAGGCGACAACATCCCTGCCAGCGATGTGGAAAACGCGGCCCCGGCCATCACTGCACGGGGTCTGGGGGGGAAGGACCTTAAAGCCCGTCCAGTGCCACCCCCTGCCATGGGCAGGGACACCTTCCACTAGCCCAGGGTGCTCCAACTTGGCCTTGGACACTCCCAGGGATGGGGCAGCCACAGCTTCTCTGGGAAATCCATCCCAGCCCCTCCCCACCCTCCCAGCCAGGAATTCCTTCCCAATATCCCACCTAAATTTCCCCTCTTTCACTTTGAAGCCATTCCCTGTGTCCTGTCCCTCCATCCCTTGTCCCAAATCCCTCTCCAGCTCTCCTGGAGCCCCTTCAGGCCCTGGAAGCGGGTCTATGGTCTCCTTGGAACCTTTTCTTCTCCAACCTGGCCCTGGACACTTCCAGGGATGGGGCAACCCGTGCCAGGGATCTCCCCACCCTCCCAGGGAAGACAAACAAGGCGATCCCTCCCACCAACAGGTGGGTGTGGGTGGCTCTTCACAATCACTGCAGATGAACCTCGAGGTGCTGTGACCCCCGAGCAGAGCTCAGTGCCCAGCTCTGCTCCCACAGGACCCTCCTTGGACATCCCCCACGGTGGGAGCCGAGGGAAAAACAACCCCTCCGGCCCAGCTGCGCGTGCTGAGCTCCCAACCCGACCCCTGCCACACGAAAACACCGGAGAACATCCCAACTCACCCTCGTAAGGAGTCCTGGCCTCTCCTCCTCACCCTGCTGGGCGGCCTCTCCTCGTAGCCGGCGAATCTGTCCGTCTGCAGGTCCCCCTCGTACTGCGCCCGGGCGTGCCCCACGCACGCCACCGCCGTACATCCCAGCACCAGCCTGGCCAGCCACAAAACCCCCATGGTGGACGACGGCCCAGACCCCCTCGAGTCCCCCGAAAGCTTCTTCCAGCCGCGAGGGCCTCCCCGCTGCGGATTTTCGGCGGCGGGTCCCCCCGAGCGCCGAGGTGCCGTCCTTGCCCTTCCCGGTCTAGGAGGGGAGAGATGGGAGAGAAAAAGAGAGAGGCGAGTGTTCTCAAGGGCTTTCTGACACCTTTATATCATCCCACTCTTCTATCATCCCACTTTTCTATCACCCCACCTTTCTATCATCCCACTTTTTTATCATCCCAGTTTTTTATCATCCCAGTTTTTTATCATCCCACTTTTTTATCACCCCACTTTTTTATCACCCCACTTTTTTATCACCCCACTTTTTTATCAATCATCTCACTCTTCTATCATCCCACTCTTCCATCACCCCACTCTTCCATCACCCCACTCTTCCATCAATCACCCCACTCTTCCATCATCCCACTCTTCCATCATCCCACTCTTCCATCACCCTACTCTTCCATCATCCCACTCTTCCATCACCCCACTCTTCCATCACCCCACTCTTCCATCACCCCACTCTTCCATCACCCCACACCCCTGCTGTGGGGTCACACAGTCCCACCCGCTTTGCCTCCCAACCACTGCGGTGCCAAATCCTTCTTTCCCAAGAGCTGGAGACCAAGAGGAGATGGCCAAGGGTCTCCCATCTATTTTCCTGCCCTCCTGGTGGAGAAAACAAGCCCACCAAGCAGGAGGAGAGCTTCAGGAAAGAGCAGGTCCTATTTATGGACCATCTTCCCAGCTCTGTTTGACTCCACTGCACTCTGGACAGGCCATGGAGTGGAAATCCACTTCCAGCTGCTGGAAAACAACCTCCCGGATCATTCCAGCTGCCCGAGGGGAATGGTCTGCTGGGAAACCATCAGAGGGACATGGACACCAGCAGGAAAAAGGATCCTGGTGGGCTGGAGTGAGGTGGAAAGCCATGAGCTGGGACCAAGGAATGAAGATGCCTCAAGCTAAGCCTGGATTCCATGGAGAGGGAAGGGACAGAGGAGAGGGTGGACGTGCTGGAGGGATGGAGAAGAGCTCCTGAGCTGGGACAGGCAGCTGAGAGGCACGAGGAGGAGGATGATACAGGTCCAAAGCCTCTGTGGAGAAGGGGAGTGGGCCAAGGGAGGCAGGAAGGAGACCCCTCACCCCTCGGGCTGTGGAAAAAGCTTGGGATGAGCACGGCTTGCCCAGCTCCAGAGCCTGGGAGATGGACACAGCTCCAGATCCAGAGGCTGGCCCCAAACCACACCAGGGCAGGTCTTCACCCCCAGAGGCTTCTTTTGCCACGAGCAAACCCCTTCCCGGGAAAACAGGGACACGGCACAGGGGGGGGGGGCGTGGGCAGAGCTGGGGAGAAGGAGCCCAGGGTGGGCTCAGTCCTGGGAGCCATCCTGGGGCTGGGGGGCTCTGGGGTGAAGGAGAACAGCCCTGGGAAGGGGTGAACACCCTGGCACAGCACTGACCCCCCCCCCTGGAGCCACGGGGACATTCAGTGACTCCCCGGGGTGGCCACTGTGACCTGGGGGGCTGCTGTGGGGTGTGGGGAGCAGGGAGGGGGGCAACGAGAAAACCCAAGGAAAAAGCTCTGGCAAGTGGGTCACACTCCACACTCTGCACCCCCTTCTCCTCCCCCTCATCCCCATCACCCCCCCGATTCCCAAATTTCCCCCCGTGGAATTGGGGCTGGGGAGCCCACCCTTCCTCCTCCGGGCCAGCAGCAGGGTCAGGATCCATCTCTCACCTCGAGACCCCCCCCCCAAAAAAAAAAATCTGGTCTTTCAGGGAGGCAAATGCTGCTGGATCTCCCTTCTCCAGCCCAGAGTGGAAACAATTTGGAGCTGG